CCGCATTTACGGGCCCTTCATTTAAGAAGAGTTCTTAAAGAAAGAGTTATGTATTATTTTTTTAAAAGAAATAAATAAAAATAAGGCTATACTTAAAGAATATTAGTACGCTTATACGTTCAAAATCTTTTGAAAAATTAGATAATTACCGTTATGGATGACCAATTGTTGACAGGTCGCGACAAATTATTCGAGATTTCACGGTCATTTGTGTTAGTAGAGTTTATTTCACGGGATTATATCAAGCAAATCCGCCTAGGGCAAGAGGAGGAATAGATTAATAACTGAGCAGTTAACATCGGGCCGATTAACCCAGAACCGTCTCGAGATTGGCGAAAACTGTAAAAATGGTCAATTATTTTTGAAATACGACCGAGGGCCCGTGGCCCAATTCTGCACTTTTTTCAATCTGTTATTGAAATACTATGGGAAGATCTCATAACTTTTTTAATAAAGAAAAGGATATCGGCTATTTAACCAATCGTAAATTCGTCTTTATCAACTATTTTAGGATTTGAGAAGTATACGCAATAACTTTTGCTTGTTCGAATGTCCATCCATTTAGTTATTTAATAATGAATTTTTGCAATCTCGGTCCGGGTTGTCTCTGTCGTACAGAATAGTGTTGACAACAAGCTTCTTATGTGTGACTACTTAATAAAAAATAAAATCTTTCAATTAATCTTTATGAAAGGTTGAGATAAATATTATCTAAACCAATAATAGACGTTGAGATAAAAAAGGCAGTGACACGAGCGGGATTCGAACCCACGATCTTCGGCTAAATAAGCTAGTAGGAAGTCACGATAGCTCAATTGGTAGAGCGTCGGCGCATTTAGCCCAAGATCTGGGTTTGAATCCCGCTTGTGACACTTCCTTTTTTTATCTCAACCAATACCTTTTGTAAACATTAAATAATTGAAAAAAAGTTAATTGGTCAATCGGACCACGAATTGTAATGGATCTTTCAATTAATTAATTTGTATGTAAGGTATTAGTTGAGAAAAAAAAGTCAGTGTCACGAGCGGGATTCGAACCCACAACCTTGGGCTAAATACGCCGCTGCTCTACCACTTGAGCTATCGTGACTTCGATCCACTCGACACCACCTTCCTACCTCGACCCATGGTGGATCGAGCCAAGTGGCAGAGCAGCGGCATATTTACCCGAAGATCGTGGGTTCGAATCCCGCTCGTGACGTTGATTTTTGTATCTCAACCAATACCTTACATAAAGATTAATTAATTGAGAGATATTTTTGGTCAATCGGACCACGAAATCTAATGAATATAAAAAATAAAGTTAGTTAAATTATTAAAAAAAATGAAAGTACATATTACATAGATTTCAATTAAACAACTCTAATTTACTGAAACTTTAATTGTAACTATATTTGCTATTTTAACGTATGAATACAAATTCATAAATGTTACGTTAAAAACAAAAATTTTGTCTAATAACACAAATTTCTATTCAAAAATTGTGGTAAAGTACAATTGTAACTATGTTGAACTGTCATTAAACAATAATTTTTATAATCAAGAATTTATTATCATTATTTATAAAAATTTTTGGTTTAAAAGAAAAATCGGAAAGGAAAATTTCATCATAACACGTTATTTGGTTTTTCGGAATAAATTCTAAATTAATTAACCTCTATAAAACACACAATTTGTATTTTATTGTAGAACATTTCATAATATTTAAGGTGATCATAGTTAAAAATTCAACTCGACGTTCTTCTTTTGTATTTAATATTTAAATTTAAAAATACAATCCTTTGCATTAATATAGTAGCATGACGTTTTGCATTTTTGGCTTATTTTTGTAAGCATTACTAAGAATTTGATTTTGGTGACACCGCTTATTCATGGCTTGGCTTATCTGTTTGTTCGCTTAGTGAAATTCATGAAGATTTTTGGCCCGGTGATGGAACCGGCATTGGTTTGGCAAATGGAGTGCGACGATCGGCGGGCATCTTTTAATACGCGATTTCCATTTGCACATCTCTCAAGGCCCCTCTAAAGCCAGAATAGCCTTTTCCAAAAATATCTGACCAGTATTTGTTGCAATCATGAGCTTTAATAGACAATTTGGAAATCATGGGAAAACGGTGGATTTTGTATAAGTGCCATGATGCTCCCCGAGGTGGGTTTTTGCCTGAATTTAATTTATCAGGAAACTTACGTTATTGATGTAATCGCATACAGCGTATTCCAGATATTAATTTCGATCTTAGACGGTTGCAAAATTCAAGCAAGAACGAAATGAATCTGGACGCTATGATTTTTGTCCTGTTGCATTGTGCAATGTGAAAACCTGATTTTTTTAAGTAACTGAAGCTCACGTGTTATTAGCAGAGCTAAAAATATTTAAGATATTCTGGTGCGGTTTATATTTCTTTTTTGATCTTCTCCGATCATCCTGTGTCTGTCTATTTCCCCTGATTTAGTCTGTCAAGCTCGTTACGGCATTTTGCCATATTCTACGATTTGTGTTTGTGTTTGCCTTTTTACATTTTAAAATTCAGTTTAGCTAGCTTTTTATTTATATAAAACTTTAATTTTATTATATTTGGTAGTCATAATTGACCGTACTAATTATTTTAATTAAAATTATATTTTTTCATCTCAACTATGACCTTAGATAAAAATATATATAATATAGATAATAATGAATCTTATTAACAAACACATATACAATATTATACATTTCTGATGATTTGTAGATAGTGAGATGCGGACTGGTGTGACGTAGGTTTTAGAAAAACATTTTCTTTATTGTGCCAACGTTTCGATCTTTATTGAGATCATCTTCAGGGCCTGGGATTTATAAACTTTGTTTAAATTTTACAAATATATGTAGGATGTGAAAAAAACGAATTTATATAATGCTAGAAAATTTTAGATAAAAAAATGAATTTATTCAATGCTAGAAAATTTTAGATTAAAAAAAATGAATTTATACAATGCTAGAAAATTTTAGATAAAAAAATGAATTTATGCAATGCTAGAAAATTTTAGATAAAAAAATGAATTTATACAATGCTAGAAAATTTTAGATAAAAAATGAATTTATACAATGCTAGAAAATTTTAAATAAAAAATGAATTTATACAATGCTAGAGAATTTTAGATTCAAAGTTTTTGTAGTCACTCAAAGTGTTTGTTTTCCATGTAAATGTGTCATTCTTGTCTGTCGTGTTGAGAGTGCCAGTGAGATATGATGTTTTATGTTTATATACGTAAATAATAAATAATAAAAATAATCATTAACTAACGGTCACTGAACACCACATATTGAACATTTCTTTCTTCGTCCCATACGCTAGATATACTCATGGCCATTGAGGCCGTCTGAGGTTAGATAAAAAGTTTAATTAATTAAGAGTTAATTTGATTAAAAAATGTATTATTCCTTCTTAGTTGTATCACTTTTTTTTATTACATTTATTTGTTATTTACAACAAAATATTAAGTAAATATTTTCTATATATGCTGAATTTGTCGGTTGAGTCACTTGTGAAAGAAATTACCGTGACGCACTTTTTCACCCTGAAATCTCGTCATTCTTCAACACTAACAAGGCTTCGAAGACACTTTTGCTTCAGTCCTCTTGGAGGATTTTCTGGTAGGTCTGGAAGTGATAACTGTCTAACTAGGATGGATTATTGTGGATGGTCAGTGATTTATGAAATTTTGTATCGCTGGTTTTGATGAAGTCGTGTACAAATAGTAGGTCGTTGTGAACGGTATGATTTGAAACAGAAAAAGGAGCATTTATAATTTGACGGAGAATTTTGGACTGAATTGATTGTAGACTTTGAGAATTGTCTGCCTTGGTTAACCTTCAAACTTCACAACCGTACTCCCAGAGAGATCTTATTATTCTCTTGTAAATTAAAAGTTCGTTTTCATTGTCGAATTTTGATCGTAAGTAGGCTTTTTAATAATTTGTAACGTTTTTTTTTTTTTCTTGCCTGTTCAGTCTTGTGTTCGGCCTAGTCAGTCGTTTATCCATGAAAAATACATGATAACGCACAGTGTCAGTTGGTCAGTGGTAGGCAATGGGAGTTTCATTTATACTCCCTGGGGGACAGATACTTTTACGCAGAGTAAAATTTTTCCGTACGCTTGTCGTTAGGCTTCTTTTTATTCTCTACTTCGTGAACGTTAATTCATTAATGTTAATTCATTCAGGTGTAGTTATAAATCGTGAGTGTTTATGGCGGGTCCGAATTTCGCGTAAGAATCGCTATATCATCAACGAATGTATGTGTTGAAATGTGTAAGAACATGTAGGAATATCTGTGGTATATATTGAAAATAAAAGTGGGCCAAGTATGCTTCCCTGAGGAACACTCGCTCTAACAAGTTCATAAAATGAAATCAGTTCCCTAACGGACTCGGCAAAATCAGACCGTCAGAAATGTTCTCAGTGTGGGACGCATGATGTGTTTTTCAGTTTCCAAATGCCAAGCTAAGAAGTTTTTCTAGAATTTTTAGTAAGGATAGATAGGAAAATAATGGGCCGATAGAAAGTAGGAAGATTAGGTTTTTTATTTGGCTTATGAATGAGTTTAATTATTGAGAACTGTAATGGAAAGTATGTGGTCTTAAGTACAGTGTTGTGTAGGTATGTACATATTATTAGTTGTCAGTTTATAATTCACTTTGCTGTTTGCATTGTTCAACTTTATATTCAGAGATTTCTGTTTTATTTTTAAATATAAAGAAATACCAGCACAGGGAAATTAGAAAAAAGAGGTGTTCAAACGCGGAAACGAACCTGTCAAAGTGTGAAGAGACCTAGATGATCAGAGATGATCAAGTCCATCACCTCCAAACACCACAATATTTCCCACAAGAGTACATGGTTAAAACGATTAATTTCCTAATAAGAAATTATTACTCCTGCCAAGAAAATTTATGTTTTCTGTTGTGCTTAAATGATATTTATTACTTGAGGTGTAGTTGGATTAACTCGGAAAGCGTTAACATCTCTTCATTTTTGTTCACCCCCTTTTATGCACAATTATCTTCTCCAAGGAAATTGCACTAATTCGTCCATTACTAAATCATGAGATCGAGTATGACAACAATCGAATCGCGGAAATTGTGGCTTATCAAAGTTGATCAGTTATGATTAGATCGCAAGTCTAATCAGCGCACACAATGACAACAGTGTGCAACGTTTGAGAATTAGACCGTTGTTTTGACTGGTATCGCCTTGAAATTCGGAACACCTCGTGTCGTACGGTCAGTTTAAGATGGTTCTTTCTCCCGGGTTTGATGACCTGGGCAGATGGCGTTCTTTTTTCCACAATTGAACACAATGCGATGGCTTTCTCCGTCCATTCCGGGCAAGTCGCGCGTGAAAATCGATTTCGGTTACGAGACGATAGAGTTAATCTTATGCGACGGGGAGGGGCATCGACAATTTCCGGCCAATTCTTCGGTAACGGTGCAATTTGGGCCGTCAAAGGAAATTGCTCCCGTTGTCGGATTGTCTTTTATTTGACAATACACCAAGCAGTCCAAATAATCCCCCGGAGCGACGAGGTTAGTTTTCACCTGTTTACTAAAAACCATATGTTCATGCTGCTGGTCGCGTCAAGTGTATCTCATATATTCATCTCCAGTCAAAATTGCACGAAATTAGTAAGTACACAACTACATTTGAAAGATTTCACACATTCCACATCCACTTCTCGACCCCGTTTTTAAAGGACGCGTTCGTCTTGGAATTTTGAGCCTCTGTCGCGAATTTGTCGGGTGTGTTTTCGTTGTTTTTCGCATGAGAATAGCAAGTTTTCGAGGAGGTCGAAGACGCAAAAGTTGCTTTATCCATAACGAAATTTACAGGAAACAACTTGAAACAGAGAATCTCTTTTGAAAGTAATTTTCTATTAATGTAAATAAGGTTGAATGAAGTGTATGGACAGAAAACAGGTGACAAATTTTCGTCGACATCATCTCAACTGTATTTTTTAAATCAGTAGACATTACGCATAAAAAAGCACTTTGATTTGCGAACCCAAATTAATAAATATAAATATTACATAAACATACATTTTGACAAAACAGTGAGACGTTCATCCATAAGCGTTTATAATATAATAAACGTTTATAGTTAATAAACTATAAAAATATCTAATTATTTAGAAACTTAATTGAAAAATTGCTATACATTTTAAATTAGTACGTTCCCTGAAGATTTTACTGTTCTATAATTTAAATAATTAGGTTGCTTGATCATTTACTAATTATTGGCTTTGCTCCTTTCTTCTAAAATTTCCTTGATATCACAAGGTTTTTAATTTTTAAGAACATGGTTTATTAGTTTATAAAAGTCGTAAGTCGAACTTCCCCAAATGGAGACTTCTAATAACTTGACGTCAAACTGACCGGACAATTTTGTTTCCCCCGACTTAACTAAGAAATGTACCTACAACATCGGACATGCTAGTAATAAACACAGTCACTACGTTTATAGATTTTTTTAGACTTATTACTATGACTCTTGTGTTATGGATATACATACTTGTACATAAGAGGACTTCTTACACCCAACACAACCCTCTCGAACGTCAGTGATCAGTCCAGTTATCTGTCATTTCTCAGATTGTGATTGTAACAAACCGATTTGGAGATCAGTTTAGGGAAAAAAGAAAGGAGGGAAAAATAAAATTAACTTCTTTTTTTTTTACTTTCACTTCAAGTACCTAATCCTTTTTCTCTTTGTGGACCCTTATAATGCGCGGTAATAAGAGTACGAAAACTCCTTCTCAAGTGGTGTCCTCCAAACCGATTACTGGTTTATACAAGCTCTAATCTGCGCACGCACGTACATACATACACGCGTGTACTGAGTTGAGCCTATCACTTTTGCAGTCCACCGGCAATGCTATCATTTGAAATTTAGCATAAATTAACTCAGGCCTCGAGAATCAGCCACCACGGGTCAGACCTTGGTCTTATCCGTCCTGCCACCGAAGCTAGGTCATTTCACGCAATCAGTTCCAAAATTCATTCATACTCTCACTCACCCTTAAATACATTGTTACTTATTTGCATACCATGTGTTACCTACCCAGATTGTATAACTAACTTAATTGAGTTTCGATGGGGTACTCAATATTCCAATGGCTCTGTCACACTTCACATTCGCGCCAATAAATACATTCACTCTCAACACACGCTGTGGTCACAAAACTATCATTATTGTATACAATAAAACAACCCTGTTTCCTCCAAGAATCGGAACAGGAAACCCAGATACTCGCTGCCCTTCGGTTAGATGGGCCACATCGAGCCACCTTTCTCTGCATGCCAAGCAACGCGTGCTTTGTCCCAAAATTAAATGCGCGTGCGTCAACCTCGCAAGGCCTATCCTTAATCTCGTGAGGATGACGCTTCTTCTACGAGTCAGGTCCTCCGAGGGCACCTCAGTGCTTTTGATACGCGAAGTGTCTGCCTACAGTAAGCTCGTCCATTTGAGTCTGGACGAAGGGACCGACAGATATCGTACACTTTGCAATATAAAAATAAACTAAATTATCAGTAACTAGTAATGATAAAACAACCGACAAATCATCATATTGTTTTATCAAGTCTTTCTAATATTAAACGGTGAATTAATTATTTTTAGATATTTTAATATCGCTAATTATATTTATTTTATATTGTTATAACATTTGCCTGGCCTTTCCACGAGGCAGTCTACAAGGTGTTTATTGAACACCCATCAACTAGTTCCAGACTGTAATTGTCTTATCCAATTGGTTTATCAGCCAATAAGTACGATAAACGCTGATTTCCTGCAGAACTGGTTTACATCAATGTTGGAATATTCAGTGGAGAAGCCGAGCTAGTTATAAAATGAGAGGCACGAAATTTAAGTTAGTAAAAATCATTTTGAAAAGAAACAAATTGTTATAGTTGCTGGCAAATTGGCCATTAATAATCTGCGCTCTCAGCCGTAGTTCCGGTGGGTACATTATCAACTAAATGTAAAACATATATTTAAACATTTATCACTTAAATAAATTTAAAACTAGTTTTAACACTTAAATTTACCTGTCGATTACTGTAAAAATTAAAAGATGAATTATCAATGAACTAAATTTTAACAATAGTTGGATGAACGTTGTAAGCCAAAGTACGTTGATTTCCGATAGGTTGACTTATCACAAAATAAAGCGTAATTATTTTAACAACTTATTTTCTTGTTGATTATCAATAACACCCGTTTTAAAAGATAAGATCAAAATTTTTCCTTATCCATATCCTAAATTGTGGACATTTTAATACAGCGCAATCCACTTTATATGATCCACAATCATTTAATTTTAAAATGTGAAATGTTATTTTTATATCATTTTTTTCTATAATAATACCTATTGAAAAATTTTTAAAACTCAAAATATGACACATAAGCTTGAAGAAACAGAAAATTGACGAGCAAATTATCAATTGACCCGGATATCAATGCCGTATACAGTCGAGAAATACAAACTATCCGATGAACCGTCAGTGGTTATACAGGCTAGATATTACACGCGATGTTCAGAAAGAACTGGCACTAGAAACACTGGGGAAAAGCGAGCGAATACAACATAAGCCAGGTCAAAGCGTAGGACGTTCTAAATGGCCCTCACGGTTGTCTGATAGTTTGGTTTTTTCCGAACAAAATGGTCGATTCTGCTTCTCGCCCTCATCACTTGTGGAAATCACAAATTGTCTGGCATGCTGGGTCGACTTGTTCCATCACCCATCGTAAACATTTCTTCAACTTGCGAGCGCGCAGGATTTGTCTAACTCTATCAAAATTTTGATATTCTTTACATAGTTTCTTGACGAAGTTGGTGTTGTTAAGTGGGGAAGAGAAATAAGTTCCTTATTCGGAATTTTTAAATTATTCAAACAATCCACACTCCTCATAATAATAAATAAATAATTTATTAATTAATGATTAATAATAATAAATTAATTAATTAAAATACACATTAGCCATGATCATTAATTTCTAATTTAAATAATAATAAATAAAAATTGAGCATATATTCAAATCATTAAAAAATATATAAATAAACAACTATCTCAGTATCGAAAACAAAGATAAAAATGTACAATTTCTTATTTTAACAATAAATGTTATGTCTGATAAAGATACGAGTTAAGTTAAATTAACACTAGCAACAAAGAGGTTAATAAATAATATGAAATCATTTAGTTGGTTTTGATATTATTTTTCGTGTTTTTCACAGTATTTAATTTGGAATAATATGGTGGTTAGGTCAATCGTCTCGGATCGTCGTACGCCAACCATCAAGGAAAGGCAAACCAGAATGATCTGAAACGATCAAGCTACAACCCTTTGATTACGCAAGTTACATGAAAAAATTGAAAATGGTAAGGGGATTATCGGCAGACAGTGGTTGATAGCCAGAGGTACAAGGGTTATCAGTTGGATTCACACAGGTGGACAGTTTGAGTAATGGTATATAGTCGGACGTGCAGGGTTCAGAAGTTGAAAAGTGGGTTGTCAGACGCTTATTTGTGGATGGTCGCACGTGCAGGGCGGAGACTTCGAACTCAAAGGGGTTAACAGTACGAAGCACGTACGTATAGTGGTTAGCAGTTGGACACTCAAAGATACGCTGCAAAGCGCATAGTGGTGGATGTACTGGATTTGGCCGAAAAAGGATAGCAATCGGACGGTGGTCAGTTTGACGGATAGTTATTTATAGTCGGACTGAGTGGTTAGCAGTCGGATAGACAAAAGTGGTCTGTCTACACACAGTGGTGGATAGTCAGACGTGCAGGGAGAATTCAGACGCAAAGGTGTTAACAGTAGGAAGCAACCAGATGTATAATTTATAGGTACAGGAAATTAGCAGTTGGACTCCCAAATAATTGGACGTGTAGTGGTTAGCAGTCAGATACTCAAAGGTACGCTGTCAAGCGCATAGTGGCGGATATTGGATGCACAGTAGTGATCGGACGTGCAGGGTGGAGAAGAGAAGTAAAACGGTCGCGGCCCGACTAACAGAGGCAGTAAAAGCACTGATTTTTTAATAGTTGAAAAGGATGGTTCTAATCTGGTTTTTGTCGTGTGCCGGATTTCAAGCATTATCGTGTCGTCAGACACTACGTTAAATCTAATTACAAATAAAACAATGTAGATTTCTTTATATACTTGCTCCATCATAACGAGTTTTTATGAACTGTTGGTTAGTTACCAATAACAAAAAACATTTAAACCATCCAATACATTTTTCAATTTTTCCTAAGTGGGTGCCAGTTCAAAGAAATCCCCAACTCTCATGCCGTTGCAAAGCAAAGATAGTTTTGTTAAAATATTTTTTTTTTCTTGTTAGTGTATTACAGAATTGGGTTTGATGGTGAAAGAATATTTTAAAAATTTATTAAGAGTAAGTCTCAACTGGGTAATAAACAATTGTTGGATCCGGATATCGGAAGTTGAAGATACTATCTATAGGAATGTCGTTTGTAGACCAGCTACGAAGCGTGGGATCTTCAGGCTGCACGTTTTCAACCATCATCAGTATTAAAGCAGTCAGAACCACCGAAAACTGCAGTTTGAAGGTGAAAAATTCAAAAGCGACTAAATCGATTCAAAAGTAGGCCATGCAAGATATATAATCTTGCGTACTTTCGGTTTCGTCCGATCCACGGGGACGGGCATCTTATGCAATCCGACCTTTCGCTTTCGGCTGGCGACGGCGGCCCCGCCGTAAATTCGCAAAACAGCCTCTTCCGCCTCGGCCCTTCAGCCGCCTCCAAAAATCGAAAGTGTCGCCGTCGTTTTGTTGTCATAGATGTGGCAACACTGTTCCCCGCCCGTGGTTAGCCCAGCTGTTTCAGCCTCAACACTTTTATTAGCCTCAGTTAACAAGTTTAGCTTTCAAAACAAACCCTGTGCCCTGAGGACTGGTTATTTCGGCTCTAATAGAATTATCCTCCTAGTTTATAAGGTATTTGAAACATTATAGGCTGTTCTTGTCATCTGTACAAACCAATTTTGTACCCACAACTTAATAAAAAATAGCCCTTATCCTTAGTGTTTTTTCTTTTCTATAAGATATCTTATCAGTTTAATTATATTAAACCTTTGAAAACACTGTTACTTACAGCCCTAACTTGCTAATCAAAAACCACCCAATTTAACATAATTCAAATGTTCAACTCACAAAAATTTAATGAACTAATTGGTATTTTTTAATTTCCAGACCGAGTCTGCCCTCTTGGGCAAAGGCCGTAAATATGGTGGACTATTATAAAGTTCTTGAACTGACAAAAGGATGCAGCACAGCGGATATCAAAAAGGCGTAAGTTAACATTTTGCAAAGTTACGATGTTACTTGTAATCCATGTCACTTTAACGATGATTCCATTTAATTTATAAAAATGCAACAAAATCTAGCCATTTGTTCATAATATGTCAGGTCCGATGAATTGAAAACATACTAACATTTACTTTTGTGACATATCATTCACACAAAAATAACGCTTTTACTAAGGTTCGTTGATTTGATCTACAAAAATGTGATATAGGCAGGCCATTTGTTCATAAGATGTCAGGTTCGATGAATTGAAACGAACGAACATGTTGTGGGACATCGTTCACAAAGAAACAGTGGTTTTACTAAGGCCTGTTGATTTGATCTACAAAAATGTGACAAAGACTGACCATTTGTTTGTAAGACATCAGATCCTGGCCATTAGTTCATAATATGTCGGGTCTGATGATTTGAAGACAAATTGACAATTACTTCTTCGACATCACATTCGCTAAGAACTGTGATTCAATTACAATTTCAGTCCATTTGGAAAATTTTCCAATTTCCATGAAAAAATGTAACAAAGACTGGCCATTATTTCATAATATATCGGGTCCGATGATATGGAAACAAACTAGTATTTCCTTCTGTGACATATCGTTCATGAAAAAAAACACTTTTACTAAGATCCGTTGATTTGATCTACAAAAATATGACAAAGGCTGGCCATTTGTTCATAAAATGTCAGCGCCGATGAATTGAAAACAAACTAACATTTCCTTCTGTGACATATCATTCACAAAGAAATAACGCTGACGTCAGGACTGATAAATTGAAAACAAATTGACATTTACTTCTGTGACATAACATTCGCCAAGAACGATAACTCTATTATAATTTCAGTCCGTTTGGTATGAAAAAATGTAGCAAAGACTGGACATTATTTCATAATTTGTCAGGCCCAAAGATTTGGAAACATTTTCTCCTGTGATATATCATTCACAAAAAAAAAAAAAAATTATAAAAAAAATTTTAAAAAAAACTTTTACTAAATTCCGTTGATTTGATTCTACAAAAATGTGACAAAGGCTGGCCATTTCTTCGTCAGAGATGTCAGGTTCAATTGCTCTGGCATAACCTTCGCTAAGAGCAAACCCTAAAAAACACTAAGTACTAAAACCAATTCTTTTACAGTTTGAGTCAGTTCGATCTATAAAAGTATAACAAAGACTGGCCACATAAGCCTTTTACAATGTCAATCCATGGTATTGTAAATGAACTAACATTTACTCTATGTCATATTGTTTGTAGGAACACTTTTTTCAATTTCAATGTGTTTAAAGGTCTATAAAAATATAACAAATGTGGCCATTTGAAATGTCACATGGAATGTCTTTTAATCTGATAGATTGTGAGTATAGGCAGACCAAGATGATAGGTAACTACCAAACTATAGGTTCCTCACCTCGTAGAGGAGGAAATCTCACAATTCAATATTTTTAATTTCATTTGTTATTAATCTTTACATTATTAGTCTTATATATAGTTAGTTTAATCAAAGGAATTATTATATAATAATCCACCAATAATATGATTGAGGCTTAAATTAGTCTGTAAAATATACATTGTTTGTTTATGCTAATTTAACGTTCATAAAAATTAAAACTGTAAATCTTGAATAGTATGCTTTGTCAAAATATACTACTGAGATAATAAAATCATTTGTTTTTGAGATGTCTAAATTCAACATTTACTTCTATGGGTCATTTGCAAGATCATACATTATTAATACACCATTTCTAGATAAAACATTATTCTTTGAACATACTTGAGTTAAACAAGATAAAAAATAAGGCTGCATAATACAAATCCAATTGCTCATAATGTAGACTAACAGCATGACTTTTTGGTAACACCCCAAACACTGGCACTCCTAGGATTCATAAAATCTTGTAGTTAAAATACCCCCATAAAAATGTAAAAAATACATACTCTAATACTTGTAATTAATTTTAATTTGATTTAAAAAAAAATTCAATTAAATGTTTGTTATACAGTTACAGACGGCTTGCTTTAAAATGGCACCCCGACAAAAACCCAGACAACCCAGAGGAGGCCAATAAGAAGTTTAAAGAAATATCCGAAGCTTATGAAGTGTTGTCAGATGGTAAGTCACCAATCATATTAAGAATAATGCTGATTAATAGTCTTCCATTCAAACATTGTGAAAAAAATCCTTCTTTTTTTCTTTTTTCAATTGTCTTTTTTCAACCCTTTTCCGCAAGTGATTTTATGTATGGTGATACTCTCCGTTAGATGGGAAGAGGAAGATATATGATGAGCATAAAGCAAATGGTAAGACGACCAACTCGTCTGGATACCACCACCACTACTACCATCACCATCACTCTAAGCCGAGAACGTCGCCTTTCAGGAGTTTTTTCCATACTCCTTTCCACCGGTTTTTCGGTAGTGAACGATGATAATTACTTGGAGGTTTTTGTGGTGCTGTGCTTTGATCCTGGCGTCAAACCTTTGTCTTAAAATAATACAAATTAATGCCAGTTAATGTTCGCGTTTTCCAGACCCCTTTTGTTTGCCAGGTGTTTTATGCATTTCATCCCTGGCAATTTTTTCCCATGTTTTTTTTTTCTTCCTCCAATGACAATCGGCATTGATATTTGTTCTAAATTTATTGATATGTATTAAACAATTGCTCTTCATCAAATAATTTTATTTTGCACTATATATAAATAATGTATATTCGCTTTGTAATGGTATATGTGGCTGGTTAAAATTGGATTAAAACTTTGAAAAAACTTTAATTAATGTAAAGAGGGGTTGCCATGACAGTTGAGGAGAAATGCATAAAACACTTGCTTTGTTTAGTTTTGATTAATAATTTTATTAACATTGTTTAATGGATAACTTCTGTAAACTAATCCAAAGTAAAATTTATTCTAAAAAATTAAATAAGAGTGAAGAGAAAGTTAGAATTTTTTTATTATTTAAAATACTTTACATGCTTATATATTATTTTATAACACCAAAAACAAAAAAATTTCTCATCACTCTAAACAGTTATTTTTGTGTATTAAAAAGTATTAAAAGAAATGGTTTATTTTAAAAGTATGTAGTTATTAACAATATTAATGTCAAAAGTAAGTAAGAATGGTTTTATAACAAACTACAAATTTTCTAATAAATAATTTTTCAACTAGAAAAAATTTAACATTAACATTGTTTATATTGAAAGTATTTAATAAAAAATAATGATCAATTCTTTAACGAACACAACTAGAATATTTCAAAATTCAGATTTTTTCCCTGTGTTTTTAGAGCAAAGTACAAAAAATGTTTAATTTTCCTGTAAACGATATGATTCCATGTCCGTGTTTTGTCCACATGTTTGTGAACAAATTGTGCACGTTTGGGTTCATTTTACATTGTACAGAACGTACAATGGTGTTTAAACTTGATCTGCTGATTAGTTTTTTTTTCTCTCTTCAAGTAGAAATGTCTGTTATTGAAAGTTTTCTTTATTTGATGCTTCTAATGTGGTATTCAACGTTTATTTATTTATTTTTAAATTCTATTTAAAATGTATGTGTTTCTTGAAGTTATTTCTTTCAAATGGAATTAAATTAAAAAACACTTTCAGATTCGACAATCGAACTTGTCATTTAAACATAGAACAATACCACATAAACCAAATCCATTGTCATCAAAACGTTTTGTTGTTGCAACATTGTTAGTTTGCTTTGAAAATTTCCCCGTTAAAACAAAAACAAAAAACAAAAACATGTTTTAGTATGATTAACCACTAACAATACTTTTATGCTTCTGATTTAATTGTGTATATACATCGCTTACAGATAAGAAGAGGCGGATGTACGACCAATATGGCCGAGAAGGCCTCAATGACAGAATGCCCAGAGGAAGATCGAGGACGTTCAACGATGCGGATGACCTCGAAGGGCTCTTCGGATTCCCATTCACCTTTAGAGATCCCGAAGATGTCTTTAGGGAATTCTTCGGAAATTCTGGTCTTTTTAGAGGTGAGCACTTTTTCTTCTGTTCCTCACTGACTTATTGAAAATTCTCTTTTATTAAGCAATTAGGTTATTAAAAAGATAATGTTTTCAGCTCATTCTTTTGATTCTAAAAGGGGGCTTAAAGCCGGTGAGAGCAATATATTTGTATCGTGATAAAAAAAATAATTTTTTCGTTTTTGTTTATGTGAGAGTTTGATGTGTGCATGGTTTTCAAATAACTGCTTACTAAAATTATTTGGTTACAAATAATTAAATTATACTTCACAACCAATATTTAATATTTGCAGCTACTGCTTATATCAGGTTGTTAAATAAATAATAAGGATGTAATAATATTTTATCAATTATTATTCAATAATCATGATATTAATAATCATCATATCATAATATTAATAATAATAATTCATTATATATATGAAAACAAAATAAAAACTGATTGCTGATTTATTTAGCTCAACTTTGCACACATACACATGAGTACATATTTGAAAAAATATATAAAATAAGTGTATATAAATAAGGAAAACAAAAATAAACAAATTACTGTAAACGATATAATATTAAAACAGAGCGCTTGGCAGACAAGAGGCGACAAATCAGAAAGCCAAGAGGTAGAAAAAAGTAGGCCCATGAGGTGGCAAATCAGAAAGCCAAGAGGTAGAAAAAAGTAGGCCCATGAGGCGGAGATATTGTGGCATGATTGTGTCGCAATTTCACAAAAGTTTGAGAGAGGCCAGATTGTGAACAGAAGGGGGAGAAAAGAGTTCACTGATGATGAGGATGGGAAAGGAGAGATGTGTCGTCCTTTTACTACCGAATTGTCTGTTACATTGGATAAAACTTGAGCCCAATAGATGCTGTGAGTGTACAGCTAGAGCTTAAAAAAAAAAAAATTGAAAAAAAATCACAAGGCCTGGGATCAAGCTCAAACGAAATAACTTGTCACTTGTGCCAAAAAGGTAAAAAAAACCCAGATGATTTTCTTTGCAATAAATGATATGGAATGCAGTCAAATGATTCTTTTTTCCTCCATTAGTCTTTTCACAATTTGTTGATTAATAAAATCAGCATGTGTGGTGTTTGTTGAAAAAATGAAGTGTATTAATGTTAACAATGTTGAAGTAAACATAATTTTCAATCCCTAACACTTTCTGTGCTTTAGTAATTCGACAGGATATTACAAAAACCGAGAGCAAATTCTTATAATGTTTTATTTTTAGATGTTGGAGGCGGCCGCCATGGTATGGATAGTCTTTCAACCATATTCTCACCTTTTGGCTTCAATATGGGGGCAGACATGTTCGGCGATAACTCGAGCTTCACATCTTTCTCAACATCCTTCGGCTCTGGGATGGGGGGCAACGTCTCAAAAAGAACAAGCACATCAACCCGTTTTATCGATGGAAAAAAGATAACAACGAAAAAGTAATATTTCTGTCTATTGTATCGCATTATTGACCTGCTAACATTTGATTTTTTATTTTTCAGAGTGGTAGAAAATGGGAAGGAGACGGTGATGCAATACGAAAATGATGTTTTAAAGTCAAAAACAGTCAATGGAGTCAAACAGTCATTATCATACCGTTAAAACCGTCCTTGCAACCCCTTCATGTGTTTATAAAATTATATTATTCCATGTTGAAAAAATATAATAAATAAATTAAAATACGACAAAAACCCCTCCACCTATTTATCATTTGTTTTGTTGGAACTTGGAAACATCAATTAAAATAATAAATTTTAAAAAATTGAAATTGTACTTACATCTAATCAGATAAATTAGTTTAGTAGAAAAATCTCAGAATTATGTATATGTTGTGTCTTAATTTTTACCATTTATTTTGCCTTTTAAAGCTCTAGTTTGCTTTGTGTACAGGAAACATATAATAGTTAGAGATGGCAATTTGTGATTACTTTTTTTTATACGGAGTCATCACAAGTCAATTTTTCTTCACCATAAGACTGTTGCAACCAGATTTAATTACTTGGCACAGTTCTCTGGTGATTTTGAATTGGATGTTTGTATATATTGAGTTTTATTTTATTTTTAATTCATTATTTTTTATGTGTGAAATTAGGGCGGTACACTAATTTTGCTCAAACAGTAATAGTCAGCTTTTTATATATTAAAAGGTTATATTTAAATTAAACAAAAGCTCGAAGTAACCAAGTCTGTTAGCAAGAATGGTGTACTTATTGCAAACATGTTTTTTTTTCTCTCTTTTTATGTATCTATTATTTTTGTAATAGCAATTAAGTTTTATTAGTTTTTTTTTAATGTAACAAAATGTAGCAAAATGAAATAGAATATTTATTGATGTGTTCATACAATTTACTTTTCTCATTTTAATATATTTAAAAACAAAATCACGCTTTTTTGTTTTGTTTTTATATTAATTAGTCTTAACTGAACTTATATACAAATTTGTAATGTACAGACCGATGAACCTACTTTTAAATTGTGCTGAACAGTCACATAGAAATTCCAATTACAAGGAAAGTTTCTGTATCTCAGTTAATTAAAAACGAAAAAATCGCTGAATAAAGCATTAATTTATATTTTGTTTATTTGTGTGTACCCAAAATCTCTGTTTTACAGTATACACCAGCAGTTACCAAACTTTCTGTTTACGGCGCCTTTAATATATCAGAATTGTTCCACATGTCAAAACAATAGTCTATCTCAGCATAAACTTTATGATAATAGTAGTAATTCATTTTTAATTCAGAAAAGCATTGATATATTTAAACCTCTTATTTTATCTGCAATTTTGTTCAATAAATAATCAAAACTCTTGAAATTGAAAAACTTCCTTTTTGAAAAGCGATGACACATTTAATAGCAAAAATATAAAAGCAAATACTTTTTTTAGGGCAATAATATAAAATACCCAATTACAGCTCTCGATAACATCCATGTTGAGTGAGATTGGATGGCCACCAGGGAATTAGTTTTTTGTATTTTCATAAAGGGGGTTTAGTTTTATATTTTTTTGTATAAATATAAAAATAATATTTTTTATAGACAATTTTCACGGCGCACAGTTTGAGAATCACTGGTCTACAGTATAATCAAATGGGTATAATGTACTATGAGCTACTTAGCTGAAATTCAAGGGAGCGGGCAAAATTGCTTGATTTATCTCCAATTTGGCTTATTGAGGCTGACGTTCGATTATAAAAATTAAAAAAAAGGAAGAGGAAAATGTGATTTCTATATGGGGTTGGCAGCAGGGTTATGAACGTAAGCTGTAATTCTCTCACCCCACAGAAAATCATCGCAAACTATCAACAGTTCGGACGTGTGAAACTATTCCACGACATAAAATGAGCGTGACCGCAATGGATGCCAAGTAGTCTTTATGCGGGATAGATTTGAACAAAATAATTTTTTTTTAAAGTTGTTTTATTTTCAACAAGGAATTATTAACACAAAATAGTCTTATTCAAATTTGTTGGGTAATAGGAGTACAACGTAAATGTTAATGAATAATCCATACATTAGTAATCATAATTAATAATTCATTAACTACTTTAATTAATTATACTTTATATAAAGTCTTGATGGAGATAAAAAAAAGTAATGCCACAAGCAGGATTTGAACTCATGACCAATGCTGCATTGCTGCTCTAACCACAGATCTATCGTGACTTCATCTACTTGAACGCCAACTCCTCATCTCAACCTACAACCTTTTGAATTTTCCCTGTTGCATATATTTTAATATAAATTTAAACACAATGATTTAATATTGACATTGGCAACTAAATGTATTTATAATCCTTCCTTTTCTTTCCATTTTTCCTTCAGTAGTCTCAGTTTTCTTTTCTTACTTTCGAGAACATTTTTCTTCTTTTCGTAGATAAGCCGCAGCTGATTTTCCACGCTTTTTTCCCCATTGATTAAGTTGTCCAGTTTCGTGACAAGTTTCTCCCTCGCTAACTTCCTGTTGTTGCGGAGAAGCCTTGAAAAATGGCATTTAACGACGATCCCTGAAAATGCAGGAGTGGAATGTCAGTCGGGAAAAAAATGGCAATTGTAAAACTGATTTACCGGTTGGTACGTGCTTCAAAACAACACAGTTTGAATTCTTGTTGACGTTTGAACCTCCTGGGCCGCTCCCTCGTACAAACCGCTCTTCTAGTTCATCCTCGTTCAACACAGGCACCAAGGACTTGTCAACCATAGAGCTAAATAATCTTATAGGGGCTTTCAGCGAATATAGCTTTTCAAAGTGACTAGCTGAAATAGCACAAATTCAGTGTAGAAAAAAATCAAATAAATTTTAAACAAATTGTTTAAAATTAAATAATGGAATATTAATAGTAATTAATAATCAAGATATGTTCAGCCCACATAATTGACCATATTAATTATTTCAAGTAATTCTTTAAAAAAAAAACCTGGTTGGTTTGACAAAAAGTGCACTAGAGTACCATGGAAAGCTCATAGAAGTTTAATTTTTAATTTTTTATCAAGATTTATTTTAATTTTGTTTTCTTAAATTTTTGTATTATTTTTATGTGCATTTACATGTACATAGTATCTTCTATTCGACTGAATCCCAGCCACTGACCACTCTGAGGGTGTCTGCTTGAATAAGGCCAAAATGGAATTAACAAAATGAATGTAAATTTAAAAAAAAGTTTATTTTAGGATAGATAATATAAATCTTTTTTCAAAATATCTCTCAACCGATACACACTATTCACAATCCCTCCTGTTTTTTCCAATTTTCTTTTAGAAGCCTCAGTTTTTCCTTTTTCCTATCCAAGGCGATTTTCTTTTTCTTTTCCATTATTTTCATCTGATTTTCTACACTAAATTCGCCATTGACATGATTGTCGACTTTAATGGCGAGCAATTCCCTAGCCAGGCGCCTGTTTTCATGGAGTAACCTAGATATATGGCACTTGACTGTAACACCTAAATCGAAGAAAGTAATTGAATGACTTTCGTCTTAAACAATAATATATTTTCTCGATGTCGCACCTGTAGGTAGATGTTTTAGAACAACGCAATTTGTATTTTTGTTTACATTCTGCCCCCCGGGACCACTGCCTTTTACAAACTGCTCAGACAGATCTTCTTCTTTCACAGGAGGGACCAATTTGCTAATTTTTGTATTTAGACCACTGCTAGTGCTAAAATAGCGTAACCATCTTAAAGCTATCATCGTTCTATAGTATCCTCTTCTGGCTTAAGACCGCTTGACCTCTCTAATAAATATAAAATGGTATTAATACAATATAATACATATTGTCATTGAAATCTGACGTACCTCATAATAAAATTTGATGCCTTTTTCATCGGACAGAACTTTGTTCCTTTTAAATTCGCTCGTTACTCGATTCTTGAAGTAGTTTTTGTCGGTGAACTGAAGAGTTTGGCCGTAACGTAACAGGCTTCTGTACAGTTTCAGCACTTCTGAAGTCTTTGGTAAACACATTACCTAAATACATAAAAAATAACTCTGTGGGGTATAAAGATACAGACAGTACAAAGATCGACGTAAAGTTCATGCAATTTTCTAATATTAATCTGTTAAAGGCAATTTTTAGAATTAAAAATCTAGTTTATGATGAAAAATGAACAATATTACAGTTATATTTCAATTATAGTCAATAAAAATCCCTTACGTTATATATTTACACCAAAACCATGCTGACAAAATTTTACTGTGGTTTCTACTTTCTACTTTCTATAAAACCGAACCTATAAGATACATGTAAACAATGTTGTAACCTTCCGAACCATTAAATTATGTTGACAAGTTGTGTTATGACGTACCCCCTAAAAAGTTAGTTCACCACTTTTCCTTTCATAAAATCTTCTTTCTTAGCGTAGTTTTTTTATTTTATAATAATTATTCGGAGATCGTGAGGTGCGTCTGGTGTGATGTAGATTTCAGAAAAACATTTTCTTTATCGTGCCACCGTTTCGATCTTTATTGAGATCATCTTCAGGGCCTGAGATTTATAAACATTGTTTAAATTTTATAAATACATGTAGGATGTGAAAAAAATTAATTTATACAATGCTTGAAAATTTTACATTAAAAAAATATTATACAATGCTTGGAAATTTTAGATTAAAAAGAATGAATTTATTCTATACTAGAAAATTTTAGATTAAAAAAAATGAATAAATAAATTTATACAATGCTAAAACATTTTAGATTCAATCAAAGTATTTGTACTGACTCAAAGTGTTTGTTTTCTGTGTAGATGTGTCATTCTTGTCTGTCGTGTTGAGAGTACCAGAGAGTAGGTAGTGAGATATTGATGTTTTATGTATACATTCATTGGATTTTGAAGGGGTGAGGAGGGAAGTCGGGAATATAAAGACATTTTTTATATGAGGAGTCGGCTTCTTTGAGGTGAAAGGAGCCGACAGAGCCGACAATAGGAAAAAATGGGGATGGCTCGGCCTGATTATCTTTTTAGCATTATATAGACGGGGATAATTAGGGAAAGGAATGGCAAATTGTAGAAGAATTAGACTGTAGAACTGTTTGATGTGTAGAATGTGATGATTGTTTAATATTACAATTAATTAAGGTTTTTAGTTGAGATGAAAAAGTTAATGGCACGAGCGGGATTCGATCCCACGATCTTCCGCTAGATACGCCGCTGCTCTACCACTTGAGCTATCGTGACCTCGATCCACTCGGACATCAACTTCCTATCTCAAAAGGAGGGAAAACTCATAAGGTGGGGTTGAGATAGGAAGTTGATGTCCGAGTGGATCGAGGTCACGATAGCTCAAGTGGTAGAGCAGCGGCGTATCTAGCGGAAGATCGTGGGTTCGAATCCCGCTCGTGCTATTAACTTTTTTCATCTCAACTAAAAACCTTAATTAATTGTAATGATTTAATTGGTCAAGCGTACCACGAAATTAGTGAATTGTTTAATATGTTGTATTATATGTTTTGTGTGATGTGATGATGATATATGTATGTTATCGATAACACATATCACAATGACATGTTAATGTGATGTTTGCTTATTGGATCTATGCTCTTTAGGGCTGTAAAGAGTTTTTTGCCCTGTTTAGGGATGGTTAATTTTTTGTCAATTTTATTGTTATCTTTGAACGCCACTTTTATGTTAATGCATTGGTCTTCTTGGTTACATTACCTTTTTTATCTTATTCGAAGATTTTTCTATATATGTAAGTCTATGTTTTTCTATAGTTGATGTCTATGTTTTTATTATTGTCAAACCCTTGTTTTTTTGTTATTACTTATATGGTGTAATAATTTTTTTGATAGTCATGGGGTTCAATCTAAGTCGGGAGTCTACCACAAGTTGGATTTCCTTAATGCACATAAGTTACAGATTATAATTAATTCATTTCTTCACCATACCGACTTATTAAACACGACATTACATTTCCTTCTGCTTTTCTATAACTAGTTTATTATTATGATAAGATATAAGATAAGATAATGAAGAAACTGGTAGATTTGACCGCCGTATCAAAACCAAACTGAAAATAGTTATATACAACACATATTGAACAATTACAATACATTCTTATACATAAAAATATAATGGTTTTTACAAGGACAAATTTTTACTATTTAATTCGTACTTAAGTCATTAGTTCATGACGAAAGACAACTGCTTGCCTACATTCGTGCTGGCATGTAACATATGTGTCTGTGAGAGAGAGAGAGAATGTGTCTAGTATTATTTCACGCTCAGCCATATTTTATTTATAAACTCTGATTTTCTTAGTACTTTTCTCTTCGTCTTTCAGTCTATCTGACTGTGTGTCTTTCACTTTCCCTCCTCTAATTACAATCTCAAGCTGTTTCCTCTAAATCGATTTGTCTGTTGGTCTGTATTTGAGAGAGTAACGGAGAGAGAGATTGGTAGAGAATATAGATAGATAGATAGAGTGAGAGGGGGAAAGAGAGAGAGAGAGAGAGAGAGAGAGAGAGAGAGAGAGAAATAAAGAGAGACAGATAGATAGATACATAGATAGATATATACCTATGATAGATAGGTACATAGAGAGTTAGATAGATAGTAAGATAGATAGGCAGGCAGATAGATAGATAGATAGATAAATAGATAGATAGAGGGGGAGAGAGGGGGAGGGAGAGAGAGAGAGAGAGAGAGAGAGAGAGAGAGAGAGAGAGAGTGAGAGAGAGAGAGAGAGAGAGTGAGAGAGAGAGAGTAAAACAGAAAATGACAAAACATATGTAATTAATATTTTAAAAAAATAAAATAACATAAATGCAATAGTGTCTCCATGGTAATGTTGAATCGTCAATTAAAAGTGCAACACTGTTGAAAAATTTTGAGCTATACCGAAGCTGAAATTCTACTTTGGATTCAACTAAACTTGCGAAGATCGTGACCTACTGAGTCATTCAGTATACCTTGACTACGACGAAGTGAATAAGAATCTTGAGAAACGAAATTGGACCAATACTGATAATTTGCTGTTTCACAATGGCGTTTATCCACCCAATGGCTTTAGTTGCAACTGGAGCAGCACTCGGCGCATATTCAATATATTCGATGAAGAATGTACTGTTGAATGGAGACGCAGAGCCCGAGCAGGAGTACAACGAACAAGGAGAAAGAGGGTTCTTCAAGAAGCTCATGAAAATCATGCAATATGTTCAAATGGCCCAATACGCGTACGACGCTGCAGTTCATTACGGACCTTCCGTCATAGGATTTGTGAACGATAACATACGGTAAGTTCCTTAACATTGTCCCTAGTTTCTATCGGCCCAGGCTCAATTTTTAATTTTCCAATTTCCCACATTTCAGGAGAAGCTCGGCCTAAACTCACCGAATTTGACTATCACCTTTTTCCGGATTTGACTCATTTGTATTTCATGGATTTGACTTTTCACAAAGAAGATTTTTTTGTGCGCGATATGGACGCTTTGATTTATTGATTTGTGTTATAGTGACGTTTGTAAATACGGTGTTTGTTTGGAATTCACCTTGTTGTACATAGAGAAGAAAATCTTAAAATTGCATTAAGTGTAAATATTTGTTAATATAAACTTGTGTATATAGCAATTGGCTATTTTCTGCTCATTTCACCACGTATAAGGGGAACTTATAGAATAATTTATTTAACAGGTCTTTCGTTCGTATTGTTATCATTTTGTCAACGCACCAAATTATACAACATGAAACCATATACAAATAATTCTTCTTAATAAGCTTCTAATATTTTCCTTCCTTGTACTACCTGCATAATTTCTTGCAAAAAACATTAGACTACGTTTTTCTTTATTATAGTGTTTGTATGGTTACAAATTGTATACTTTTTTGTTGTCTAAAATTAAAAATGAAAATCTGAAAGTGATAGATAAAGAAGGTGAGAGATACTTATTGAGATTGGGATGAACAGAGAGAGCTAATAAATGGGAAAGAGAGAGTGAACAAGGAAGAGAGCGCGGGTGAAAAGATTTAGTATAAAAATGTATTCTTTGATTGAGATAGAGCGAGAGAGAGAGAGAGAGAGAGAGAGAGAGAGAGAGAGAGAGAGAGAGAGAGAGAGATAGAGAGAGAGAGAGAGATAGATAGATAGATAAATAGATAGAGAGAGAGAGAGTGAGAGAGAGAGAGAGAGAGATAGAGAGAGAGAGAGAGAGAGAGTGGGAGGGCTAGAATTTTTAGCATAAATAATAAAATTACTTCATATATTTTTGGCAAGTTTGTAGTAATGTATAATACAGTTCATTTTTACAAACTAAGCGCAACCTACATCATAATTAAATATTAAATATTTTAGTTGAACGTTAAAAAAGGATTTTATCTGAAATTTTTTTACTACAGTTCAAATCCTACCTATTCCAGTTTTGTTTTCATCATTTTTCACAATCTTTTTATTGCACATCACCGTCATTTTAAGAAACTTCTTCTTCATTGCTGGGTATCAACCAGTTTACTGAAAGCCTTATTCCTATTTCTCACGGCCGGCTTTTTACGGCGTTCAAACTTTCTTAAATAATTGGATTTTAAAGTTTTTAAGTTCTCCCCTCTACGGACACAAACTGAATAGCAACCAGCTATCTCAACTTCATGATTTCAGTGCTACTAGAAACCACTACACCTAATTTTGTATTTCACACTACTACTTCAAAAACAAAAGTATTTTATATATATATATATATATATTGCAGCCCTTCTGGTTCATCTTTCGTTAACCAATTTTTATAAAACATTTTTACCATGATTGCCACAACGAGGCATGAAAGGTTAATAAATTTTGAACAATAAGATCGTAGTTAACTTTTCTTTATAAAAACAGGCACACACGAGCACGACATGTGTTCTGTATTTTATGAAAATGAATGTCATGAAAAATAAATGAAGTTTAACGGGACAAACCCATAAATAATGAATGTGACAAGGGCAGCTCACGGAACTTTCAGGCGAAGTTAAACTTATGTCGGTGCTTTGAGGAAACGTTACTGTTATGATTATATCCAATAGATTTCATACAATTTTTCCCATAATGCTTGATAATTAAAGAAAATAGAGATGAAAAATTGCCATTCATTGGGCAATCGTAAAACTGAAAGCCGACTGCAAATCAAAATCTCAACAGTAAAAAAATTAAATAGGGGCCTCGGTGGTTTAGGCGTTGACACGGCGTTCATCACTGTAAGGCGAAGGTCCCGGGTTCGAACCAACGGCCCTACATTCAACCCGACATATAAATGGGCTTCTTTTCAAAAACACCGTCACCCCG